GGACCCCAACCGCCTAGCCTGCATCGCCCCTACCCTACATGGCCCAAACCAACAGTCAGAGACTTCATGCACTGGTGACATGTTTCAGTCTGGCCACCTCGGGCCTTTTCCCAGCCTGGGCCTACTTCGGCCAACATTGTGTGACAAGGCAATCGGTGACTAGGCATACGTAGTACATGCCCAAACCATCTCAATCCATGAGGGTTCATAACCTCATCAACTGAATTTATCTCGACTCCCTAAAACTATATACCTGACTTCTGCATTACTCAGGTGGTGACAATACGGAATACGGCGTATACTACGAAAGCAACGGTGGTCAAACACTTGAAGCCTTCTAATGTCTCCTATCTTCAATGACCATATTTCACAGCCATACAGTAGAACAAACCGGACTACTGTGCAGTACAAGCTACCCTTAATAGACAATCGGATATCACGGCAGCGCCATAGGTGGCGTAAATTGGCAAAAGCCAGCCGAGCCTTTTGTATTTATGCAGAGATTTCATCGGCCACTGAGCCACTAGAGCAGGACTGATCCTTCTTCCCAGGTAAGTGAAGTGGTCGACACACTCAATCACTACACTCTCTATTGTGAGCCGTAACACCGTTGAAGACCAGTCCTGGAGCAACAATTTGGATTTGGGTGGTGAGAAACGCATCTCAAACATTCTCAAATTGACACTCAAAGTGTTCAGAAGACTCTACATCTTGTCAGCATCTTCACCTAACAAAACTATGTTATCTGCATATTCCAGGTCTAACGAACAAACCTACGATAAACCTATGGTATATGAAACATTGCATCAATCATAAAAGAACAAAGAATTCAATGAACAAAATTGTTTTTAATTTGGCAACAACGATGGACCTTGATCAATTGGGAAACCTTTAGAGATCTGGAAGCACTGCAAAGCCGCCGCGCCCTATCATCGTACTCCCAACAGTGTACACTCATGACCCACAGCAGAAGGCACCTTACCACTAAGCCACTGGTTCGCAACCTACTGGTCCATATTTCACTAATTCTGTCAGTTTGCGGTATAGCGCAACCTTCATCCAATGTTGTCGTTGAGTATTTGCTCTTACTTTCAGCTTGATTTGCTCAAGCGGTCCATGATGAAGAATACCAACTTGAAATCAATCATTCCTCACAAACCTCCAAATTAGAATTTTTTTTCCTCGATATTATCTTTAGAAGCTGTACAGTCAATTAATAAATTTCCACAAACTTCGAAGTTGAATTAATCTAATGCTCATTAGTGATTAACTTCAAAGGGTGGTTACTGAAGTTCCAATGAGTAGCCGTGATAAATGGAGTCAACCAAGTCGAAGATGAGAACAGTTAGTCAATGATAACATTGGATGAAGGTCACGCTATATCGTGAAGTAATATAAGTAGGAAATGTGAAGTATTGGATTTCGACCCAGTGGGTCAATGGCAACGCGGTGGCCACAAAACCTATAGGTCCTGGGTTCGATCCCCGGCGGAGGGGTCATGGGTGAGCTTAATGAGGGGTCTCATGCTACGGCGAAACAAGTGTCCAATGTTTTCTCCAACTGGTGTCAGTCTATGATGAATTCCAATCTAAAAACCAGTCAATAAATCTCCATGAACCTCCAGATACACTTAAATGTAGTCAGTATGCATACTCAATGATAAAAAATGCCAATATTTATCGATTAGTAGTTTATAATAGGTTGTAACTAGGACGATAATATAAGAGTTGAAGTCAAGTAATGAAGAATATGAGACAAAGTGAGGCATGAGTTGTCAGTGTGTCTGAGAATGAGAAATCAATGGAAAAGTTACTACCGAATACATAATTCTAATTCCAAATATTCGATTGGAAAAGTTTCAATAATACATCCTTTTGAAGATTATGTTGTATATTGTAGACAACAATAAGCCAATCTTCTAGACTAGAATGTACACTGTCAATTAAATGATGTAATAAGAAGCTATTGATTGATTCATGTCGACCTTTATTGATCCATGCTGAGAGAGAGAGAGAGAGAGAGAGTCTATGTCTACCTACGGACTATGTATCCAGCTCCATAAGAGAGATTAGGGTGATATATACACATTAAAGTGTCCAGCAATGGCAGTTTATACTTTACACAAGTGTTCACTTTTACAGCGATTAGTGTAAGGGATTTTCAGAGTGTCTGTAAAGAATATTTCTTTTTGTTTTTTTTAAACAGCCTTCATTAATCTGCATCTGCATATTGAATTTCAAGGTCAAAATGATTTACTCCTTAACTAGATTGAAAAAAGATTGATGAGAATTATTTTGATGTAGATTTTTTAATTATAAATAAATCTCTCTGATTATCCACTTGTGATGACTTTGAATCATAGAAGATGAATTTCTTCTTCTCAGGTTTCAAGAGAACAAATCTCTTCTGGATTCGATAAGAAAAGGAATGAATTTTAATCTTATTGTTGAATGATAAAAATTCAACTGTGAAAAATTATTATTTTTACACTTCATTATAGATTTTCGACAAAAATTGGTCAGTTATTATGAAATAGAAAGATACAAAGTTATTTTAAACACTACAAACATATAGTTGTTAAATAGATCAAAAGCTTTTCTGTGTTTAGAATAGAAAGTTAAGTTTATGCATAGATCAAGAAACATAAGTAACTACTTGATTCACTTTTAAAATCACTCACAATTACAAAGATTTTCTTTTTTTCAAAACTAATCATAGAGATGTTTTGTTACATTTAAAAAGGTTATTTGTATATAACACTTTCTATAGCCAGTAAGTAATATATAAACTTTAGAGATTTATGATTGAGTGTTGATTACACTCATTATCATGGACTGGTCAACCCAGTGGCTGGATGGTTAGCGTGTTCTTTGTGAAGCCTGGAGGTCCTGAGTTCAACCCCTAACCTGGTCATGGGTGCGTACTACCAAGGGGTTCCATACTGGGACGAAACAGCTGTGCAGCGCTCCCGGATTTTCAATGGTTCCCCAACTGGTATCAGTCCGAGATGAATACTAACTCTAAAATAATAGTCCTCATTCATCTCAAAAATATATTATTACTGTAATTATTAATGGTGGTAGTAGTGTGAGTAGTAGTAGTGGTAGTAGTAGTAGTAGTAGTAGTGGTAGTAGTAGTGTGAGTAGTAGTAGTGTGAGTAGTAGTAGTGTGAGTAGTAGTAGTGTGAGTAGTAGTAGTGTGAGTAGTAGTAGTAGTAGTAGTAGTAGTAGTAGTAGTAGTAGTAGTAGTAGTAGTAGTAGGAGGAGGAGGAGGAGGAGGAGGAGGAGGAGGAGGAGGAGTAGGAGTAGTGTTTGTGGTAGTAGTGTGAGTAGTGCTAGTAGTGGTAGTAGTAGTCTGCATATACATATACATAACTCAGATAGCATCCTTTGAAATCTGTATATCATCGTATTGAAAGGTTTGTGGATTTCTTAAACATTTGATTGATATAATGTTGAAGAAAATGAAAAAAATCAAGTGTTTCAGTGAAGAAACTCTCTTCGGCGAATTCAATCACTTAGTTGTACAATCGCATTTATATACAATCTTTGTTTTAGTGAGAACATGGAATCCGTTTCATGTGCGAAAATGGTTTCAGTGTAGTATTTATCATGGACTGACATCAGGCACAGAAGTATTGGAAACGTGGGAGCACTGGATAGCCACTGTTTCATCCTAGTATGGGGCTGTTTGGCAGTGAGTACCCATTGCTCCACACTGCCCCACCAGGGATCGAACCAAGGATGTTCTGTCTCTGTAGCCAGCACGTTACCATTGAGTCAGTGAGTCAGAATCCAATGGTCCATATTTCCTACTTCCTTCTTCTGAGATGGTTTGTTAGACATGGTAACAAGGTCAGGTATATGTGAAAAATGGAAACAGGATTCTCACCCTAAACTAACCAAGGTTTTTATAAACATTGGAAAGTAATCAAAGTTAACTTTTCATGACATCTATGTGTGTGTGCACATCAGTTCACGTGCTTCTGTTGAACCGGTTACATCAGTCGTTCAACACAGGTTCTGTTTAATAGGGTTCAAGAAACCTATCCTACTTGGCTATATAGAGGTAAAGGTGGATCTATAAGAAGTGGGATATCTCAACACCTAATACACGCTGGTCATTCACTTTCAGCAACCAGCTCTTTCAAAGTTATTTACAACATGAAAATAAACTCGCCAAAGTCAGTGCTCATCTGCCATCTTTGTATTGCTGAAGCTTTAACAATTCAGATGGAAATGCCGGAGACTTGTATACAAAAGAGACTTCATCAATTCTTGCTGTTTTCATGGTTTTAGTCTTTTGTGTTTCTAAACACCTCCTTCCTCCTTCTAATTCTTTCTTTGCATTTTTACTATCAAGTACCCCTTGTTTCTGTATCCACCCTGATTACAAGTCATTCATTAGTAATTTTGTTATGTTATTCAACTCGTGATTCAAACTTTATCCTATTTAATGATGGATAATGACTAGCAGTGAAGTCAAGGAAGCACACTTTGTTCAATTTTGGACTCATCAACTGGATGTACCTATCTCTCAGGGGGTGATGTTACTCCCACTAGGACTTGAACTGGGGACTGATAGCCTCAAACGTGACAGCGTTATCCACTACACCATCGAACCACGATAGTCACTTCTTGTACGATGGGTACAGTCTTAATGTTGTTACTTGTATTATCTCAGAAAGCGCATTTCGTCCTACTAAGGACTCGTCAGCTGAATATGTTAGAGCTTGTTTACAAAATACCAAACCATAATATTCCACCAATTATTTTCTAAGTGATCTTTCTCACTTGTATTCCAAGTGTATGTATGTTTTACTTCTCATCGTTTATAGAAAAGTTAAGTGTGGACACTTTTCAAAATATCGTTATATAAAGGGGGGGGGGGTGAGGGGATATCCTAAGGATGAATATTTAAATTATAATTGAAACTGTAGTATAATGAAACAAAATTTAGACTAACATGTTGATCAGAAACTGTTACAATAAATTACATACCTCATTCGGATAAGCAATTCCCTCCATATGCTCTGTACCACATGTACCACCAATGCCTGAATACAATGTAAGCAATAAAAAGATTAAAAATAATTGTAAAGTGTAATTTCTTTCTCAATTTAATAAATGATTTTTCATCTTACTGTTGAATATGATAGTCATGAAGTAACCTGATGCGACTTAATAAAGTAATGGGCGTGTCAAGAAGTTGTAGTTGTACAACTACAACACTTTAACACACAACAATAAATACTAATTTTATTGACAATAGTATCCCCACACTACTGGGAAACGTAGAAGATAAGACTGTGGAGGCAAAATTTAATTACTGCAGAAAAAGGAAAAAACTGTTTGAGCCAATCATTGTCAAGTTGAACATGAAAAAAATTATCTTCTTGGATGTTGGTAAATAACTTGTCAGTAACACAACATTTGACTGAGGTTGATAATAGATTAATAGAAGCTCAAATAGCACTAACTTTTGTCCAAGTTAAGGATTTATATTCGGAAGATATTTGACATACATAATACTGATTAATCAGAATCTGTCTGTTCGTTCTAACCTAATCCCACCCTATCCACTGATTATAGATAGTTATTCATTTCCAATACTTATAATTTCAGTTGTACAATTTAAGGGAATGATATTGTCTAAGAGGAAAAAAATCTTCACTGAAGTGTGAATCAAGTTTATGCTTAGATTTATAACCACATGAATGTCAGTGATCAACTGAATTTACTCTTTGTGTCTTAAGTAATGAGTGGTCTTAGACCTAACTGTCATGTAGGTTCCGTTTTTCGCTTTGCCAAAGTTAGTTGAGACAAATGTGTATATACAAGTAGCATTCATCATGGACTAACATTAGTTGGGGAAGCATTGAAAACCCGGGGCACTGAATAGCTGTTTCGTCCTAGCTTGGGACTCCTCAGCAGTACGAACCCACAACCCGGTTAGGGATCGAACTCAGGACCTTCAAGTTTCACGGCGAACGCGTTAAGCATTCAGCCACTGGGTGATGAATACTACTTCTAAATTAAAAAATAACCCCATTCATCTCAAAACTGTGTATATGTTTCTGCGCTCCATTTCTGTAACTTCTGTCAACTGACAATGAAGGTTGTGTTCTTTGACTTCTCCTCTGTACTAACATGGTCTAAATTATCATGGAATGTGACTAATTAGTGTTGTATAACAAAGGAAAATTTTCTGCAATCGTTATCAAGTATGTACCAGAGGTTGCTTATCGGCTTACATTTAGTAACCAATTATTTCAAAACACATAAATAAGACTGATTGACTTGCAGGTGCAATTTTGTTTTTAAATAAAGAAGTTAACATAACAAAAGCCACAGTCCTGACAAATTTATGCCTTACAATAAACTGGTATCTTTAAAAACGTGAATTAAATTCTGTGTGGATGTTCAGCCTCCATAGTGTTGATCCTGAAGGTCACTGCCATCTTTGTTAAAACGTGTGAATTTCATTCTTGAAATGATAAATCATAATTCTTTCAAGTTGTTATTCATCTTAGACTATCATCGTGAGCTAACAGAAGTTGGAAATATGGACCATTGGATTCTAATCCAGTGGCTCAGCGGTAACGCGCTGGATTGGGACCAGAAAATCGCTGGTCCAACCCCTGCTGGTGTGGGGTCGTGGGTGCGCACTGCTGAGGAGTCTCATACTAAGACGAAACAGCTGTGCAGTGCTCCCAGGTTTCCTATGTCCCTCCAGCTGATGTCAGTCTACGATGAATAACAACTTGAAATATTTCCAAATCCCCACAACCCCTTCAAAATCCAAATCATAATTCTGCCTAATTCCTATAGCATCTTATAGTACAGTGGATAGTTTTGACGGAAATTAGATTCAGCGGGCAATTTACAACATTTTGTAATACTACTTAAAATCACTAAGTAGTATAACGTGTGTTAGTAAATTCTTGCTTTTGAAGACAACCAGTTTTATGCATTGTAAGTAATTATACACAATAGCTTGTTTCATCTATCCCTTCTCTTTTTCTGTCATCTAAGGTGTACTGAAATTGTAATTTTATAGTTTAATCCCTGAATCATTATTCTGCTTGCTGCCCCTGTATATTCCTTATATTTAGTTCATCATTTTATTTAGTTATATTTTTTTAATTTGTTCTGTTTATGATCATGGATACAATTACCCAACTTACTTAGAACAGAATTGAAATGAATATAAGGAACTAGTTTAAATTTCTTAAGTTAATAAAAAGGTGGAGAGGAAGGAAGAAGATAGTTATTTGAGGTGAAATGTTAATAGGAGGACATGAGTCTCATCATCTTCATCATTTACAATATCAACATTCGACCAGGCATTACTGTATAACCGTTGCCACACTTCATATCAGTACATCAAGCAACAAAGCAATATAGTGAAAGATGGGGGAATAGAGAACCATCGGTTAAAAACAGTGGAAAGTGGTTAAAGAGAGGAAGAAAGGATGAGAAAAATGATGAATTCAATACACCGGTTAAGATAAAGATAAAGCATGGATAAATCTGTGCCACTGACATCGATTTTGAGCCTTATAGCCTAGAGTCTCCCACCACTGGTTTCTGTTATTATGTGGACCCAACTGAGAAGTCTGCCTTTCCCTTAATGACTCAAACTAACAGCCACAGATTTTTACAATGATGTCAGGTTTTAGTCTAACATTGTGAGACAAGGTAGACGGTGACTAGGTATGCATAACCTTAGTTGATGAAGGTCCATAACCTCATCAAATCACTTAAACTGTACATTTGACTTTTGCATTACTGACGTCTTAACACCATGACATATAGTCTATGCTATGAAGTTAACGGCGGTTGAACATTAGAAGCCTTCTCATGTCCTCTGCCTCTAATGTCCATGTTTCCACAACCATACAACAGAACAAAGTCAACTACAGCTCAGTATACTCAACTCTTAATCAGCAATTGGATATGGCAACGGTGCAACAGAAGTTTACTCTTTAACAGTTCTTTTATGAGAATATATGTTACACAGTGGAACAGTATCATTCACTTATGACGTCTTCAAAGAATTTATACCTCATAATCATATGAAAATCATCAAAGAAGTAAATGAAATGATAATGGTCACAATAAATATCAATATAACTATTTTGTGATATTGGTTTTGATTTGAAATATCCTTCTCATACAAATTAAGTAGCATATATGTGTATTTGTGTACACTGATTTGAATGGAACCATTATCAATCATAGAGATAAGATGATGATAGTATCTTGTTGTAATTGTAAGTATTTACATTCACGGATATACTTAACTAATTCTTAATAACTGGATGCAGAAGTAGATGACAGAAATGAAGGCTTCGTCTAATGACTTTCTGTAGTCGATTCATCATTCTCGAATAATTTATTCATCTCAAAGTTGAAATGATAAAGCATTAAAAGATACAACTGTTTGTCTACTGACTGTGGTGTATATATTTCAAATGTATGTAGAACAAATGCCGGATTAGAACAGTTGCGTATATATAAATATATACAAAACAAAGGACTAAGAAAAGCAAACTGTTATCCTATCTTCAAAAGAAAAAAAATTGTTAACAAACAGTAATTTTGAGTTCAAATGCTCTGGATTCTAAATTACCACCGGAACAGGCTGGGCGCCTTCAGGAAAAACGAATCATGTGCGGATCAAATTGCAACACTACTCATCACAATAGAAGAGAGCATAGACTGGAATTCAACTCTTTACCACTACTTCATCGATTTTGAAAAGGCCTTCAACAGAGTCGACTGAGAAGTAATTTAGCACGCAGCTGCATCAACACTATGGTTTTAGTGCCACGAACCTTGATCAACCACATTCAACATCATCTATATGCTATATGATGAGGATGATGATGCTACATGTCAAGTGATTCACAATGAAAAGCTCATGGATGCTTTTGAAGTGAAGACGGGAAGGAGTAAGACAAGGTTGCCACCTCCTCTTACCGATGATCTTCCTGATTGTGGTCTACTGGACTGAACTGGACTGGACTGGATGATGCAAGAAGCTGTGAGGAGTTGTGAGAAGATGGGTATACGCTGGCTGGAAGAAATGAATGACTCCAGAAGAAGATTCGGACTTTGTTGCCAATGATGATTCATGTCTAATGTCTTGTCGCACAAACTCGAAGATGTACAGGCGGAAACCAACAAGTTGACAGAAGAGGCGGAGCAGGGCAGGGCAGAGAATATGGGACTTCATTCAGGTGAACGTAGAGAAGGCAGCGGTGATGGAGATACCCAACAAAGACGACAACAACAACGACAACATGCACCAATCACCATCAATGGAAGGAATGTAAAGGAAGTTCTCGATCACTTACCTACCTACTTATCTACCTGTCTAAGCAGCATCGTTTCAACTACAGGTGTCGGCGGCGGCACACATGAGGTTGTCAAAGCAGCCAGGATCGCAAAGACAGCAAGACAGGCCTTCATTAATCTGTGGAGATCAACTGCACTACACTACACTACACTACACTGCACTGCACTGGACTCAGCATAAAGCTTGAACAACATCTGGATTTTCAGTACTAATATTATTCACGTAAGTCAATGCTTCTATGTGATGGTTGAGACAGTTGGCGCGTCACAAAAAGCATTTCCAACAAACTATAGATATACATTACATCAACAGCTGCCACCTACACTCACTCGATACTGAAGATTAGATAAGATGGATGGACGGGCAGAATAATAAGAATCAGCAACAAGGAACTCACTGTGGTGTGGCAGCGAAAAGGCGGAGAATCTATTGTCCAACAAATATGTAGAAGAATAAAGTGTAGATGGATTGGATTGAACATAGACTGAGAAGACCGTTTGGAAACATGACGCACCAGGCCAGGCCCTCGAGTGGAACCCAAATGGGAAATGAAGAGCTGGACGTTTGAGGGTGATATGGAGGAGATGGTGTGAGGAAGAAATGAAAGCTTGTGGACAGTCGTGGAGTCATGTTAAGAAGACTAGAGTGAAGACAGTGAGATGGTGACGGTGACATGCTACTGAATCCTTATAT